GAAACTCAGAGTCAGGGGACTCCGCTAAGCAACACCAAGATTCCTGACCTGTGGAAGGCTGTGAGATAACAAATAACGGACACAGGTTGTAAAGTGCTTAACACAGTACCTAGAACATAATACGTTCTCTACAAAGGGTGGCTATTATTTTAGTTATTAACAGCTTTGTGCAGTGAAGATGACAAAATGATAATTTAATGCTTCTACTTAGACTTGCAAATAAAAAAGATTTTGAACCCACAGAGAGCCTTTAGTCACTTTGTTAATTTACCAACCATGTCTTAGCCTAAAATAATGAATAGAATGTCTTCTAGAAGACCAGAGTTTATGAATGTGGCATAAGATAGACTGTTACCTCTCTGGTTGAGAATCACCACTTTCAATGTGTTCCAGTCCTGAGGTGCTCTGAGGTAAACTTGTCCTGTCTGAGCTGCAGGGCGCAGACACTGCTACAGCGATTCACTGAGGCTAACATTTCAGGTAGCTGCAAAAGAGTCAATCTTGTGGAACCTGCTTAATTAAAAACCTGACATTCAAACCCCACAATGTGTTTTCTTTTGGAGAAAAGCCACAGTATAATTGAGTGCTGGACAAAGATATTTCAATTTAAGGTCAGGTTGTTTATGGCTGTCATCAAAGTCAAATGAAATTTATCCTGAAAGAATAATGAAAGATATGGAATCAGATTTATGTACAAGGTTGTTCATTGCAGCATTATTTACAAACATAAAAAATATGGGAGACAACCTAAATGTTCGAGAACAACAGGGGACTAGCTGAATGATTTGTGGCAAGTTCATACGTTGAAATACTGTGAGGTTGTTAACCGTGTTTCATCGGAATATAAAGTATTGCTAAATTAAAAAATGGACATAAAACTATTTGAATTACATGATCTAAGTTTTGCAGGAAAAGTTGAATTGCATGTGCACATGCGCATATGTGTGTATGTGAGAGACAGAGAATACACACATGCTATTTTCCTCCTTTTCTTCTCTCTAGCCTTCCTGCCCCCTTCACACGCACACTATGTTTCCATTTCCTGCTAGAGTAAATCTTGTTGTAATTGATGCTATTACAGTTGTCAGAAAAGAAATACAAGAAAGAAGAGGGGGCTTTGGAATTAGGTAAGAGAGTCATTTACACTGTGGGGGAAAGGAAGGGAAAGAAGCTATCACGGTGGGGAGGGCTGAAGGTGGATACGTTAGAGCTGTTGAAAATGTCCTTCTCAATTGCAAAGCCCCTGACAGATTGAACCATTTGGGGTACAGTTAGTTTCATTCATATGACATGAACAGAAAAAAAATGAATATATACCTGTTTATATCCTCTTGTTCACCTCTAAGGGAGTGCCCAAGACTCCTTCAATACCCCAAGGCCATTTCTCCACCAAAATGAGTCTAAATTTAAGGCAGACAGACTGACATTGCATCATGGTGGCAGGGAGTGTTCTTTAATGTAAGGAGGTAAGACTTTAAGATAATTATTGTGGACCATGACTTAATCTTGAATACAGTTCCCCATTTTCCGACTCACAGTTGGTGCAATAAGACTAGAGGTGCCTCCCTCATGAGAAGCACCTGGCCCAGGGAAGGCAAAGTCACTTGGAGCAATTCTTCCCTAGGCTTTGCAAGGAATTTCTCTTCTTCTCTTTGTTGTATTCTTCCTTGGGCTCTTCTTTGGTTGTTACCCTCCTTTACTCACCACCAATTTATAAACTCTAACAATGCATTTCAACTGAGCAGCAATACCAATGAGTTATAATGTGGTTGTTCCTGGGGATCTTGAAAAAACACAGATTCTGATTCAGTAGATCTTGGGTGAAGCCTGAGATCCTCAATTCTAGGAAACTTCTGGATGATGTAGTGCAGCTAGTCTACAGATAACACCTTGAGGTATAACAAGGCACAAGGACCAAGGGTAGGCTGTGTGGGCAGAGCAGATGGCCTGGGGAAGCTGCCCCACTTGTGTTTAGTGCAGACCTCAGGCTAGAGCTGAAAAGGTGTCTTTGTGGTTTCCCCACAATTCTATGTGGGTCATCAGGCCTAAGGGTTCTGAATGAGGGTATAGCTTTTAATCATAATAATGCTGATTGCGGTATTTAACACCTAGAGTGCCTTCTCTATCCAGCTCTTCCAGTTACTGAGAGTTGAAGTGGAAGTCCAGATGATTCAGGGATTCGGTGGTTACCTCCAGCTGGAGGAATCATAGTTGCTTTTAATTGTTTTCCATTTTTTCATGTTATATAAATACATATTACTTATTGAGGAAAAAAGGCTAAAAAATGTAACTAGTTTTTTTTTATTGTACTTTTTTATTAAGTCATTTGTACATAGATCATAAATACATTTATGCCATTGTGGAATTCAATGTGTTGATTATTTATACAAATTGGAGTGCTTACATCAACATAACTTTCACCTCATTTACCCAATTACAGCATTAAGACATTTATTTGTGTTCTACACCTGATAGATCCAACTTGTACTTCTTATTGAAGAATCATTTTGGTTTTTATTGGTTAAAATGTAGATCTTTTTACTAGAAAATGTCATGCTCTTTAATGATCTTTTTCCTGATCTTTAATTTCTGGGAGCAGCTAATGATTGGCTAGGAAGTAAAATGACAAATAGAAAGGCACTGATTCCACTTGGAAAAGAAAAGACTTCAGAGGAATTTGTAGCATTATCAGAGTTAAGTCCATAGCAGACAAGGCTCGATTACTTATTTATTTTTCCCAGTTTGTATTTCAGCAGAAGAACTGAAATTAGCATTGGAAAATTATTTCCCAATCATAAATATTCTCAAATAGAAGAAGCAAGTTACCAAGGATGAATTGTAATCTCTATCCTTGAAGACACTTAAAAAAAAATCTATATATATGAATGATCAGATTTGTAGATGACATGTAGGATACATAAAATCCCCAAATGATATATCCTTCTCATTTAGCATATTTGAGCCACTTCCATTAGCCAAAAATTAGTGTGAAGACAGGGGGTACACATAAATGCTAGTAATCACAAAAGAAAAATGTGATTAGAAACTCAACTACTATAAATAGCTTAAATAATGTAATCTAAAAGCAAATATAAATGATTTTTGGTTAACCACAGTTTGGGATTACTCATGCCCCTGCTCTATTAGTACAGGTAATTGAAAATTGACCCCATAATCAATCCCCATCACTTTGATTTAATTCAGGCGCACTCCTCACCAGGGATGGTAGATGTGCCCTAGGACCTCATGAAGCTCCTTGTGGCCAGAGGGAAATTAGGTTATGATTTTTAAAAGTGATGAATTATTGACACAGTAAAATTCAAGCAAAACTAATAAATTTCCCCCCTTTGATACCAGTATGCTTCCATTAAAATTTAAATAAACTTTAAATTGTATTGAATTACTATGAAATATGTATATAAGTTGCTTTGGCTATTTTGAGATATTATGAAAGACTGAAAAATAATATAATCTTCCCATTTTCCTAAGTATCTGAGTCACCATTGTTATGAGATGCTGATATCAGCCAAAGCATGGGCAGTTGCATATCCTAGTAAACTCTGATGCCTCACCTTCTCTTCCTGTGGGGGATCCCATCTCAGTGATAAGCACCACCATCTACCCACTGCCATGGATGACACTTGAGAGGCATCCTTCTCTGTTCATTGCCCCTGCATACTGCATCTCATTAATTAGCAGCCCCATCTAGATTACCTCTTGAATGCCCCTTCAAACCATCCCCCCATCTCCATCACCTCTTCATAATCATCACCAGGTTCAGGCTACCACATTCTTTTATCTGACTCTTTCTACAACTCCCTAATGGATCTTGCTACTTCTAAGCTTACCATCCCCTACCCTATTCAATCCAGACTATATGCAGACAGACTGATCTTTCCGTAAAGCATATATAATGGTACCACTACCCTAGCTTAAAACTCTTCAGTGACAAACTACATATTTGCATGATCCAACTGATAGAAACAGAACATAGATCAGTGGCTTCCTAGAGTTAAGAGAGTTGGGGGAAAGTAGAGAATGACAACTAATGGATATGGGGTTTCTTATGGGAAGAATGAAATTGCTCTAAAATTAACTGTGGTGATGATCATGCAACTCTGAATTAAGAGTGAGAAACTCTTTTTTTTTTTTTTTTTTTCACAGAACAAGAAACTTTATTATCTCCAATGCTGGTGCATAACAAATAACAAGATTAATTAGAGGAGGAGACAGAGGAATAGTGAGGAATTTCTGGGCAGGCTTAAAACTTTTAAAGGTTGACAGCATAATTGTTCATAAAGTCTTTTTACATACAGGGCCTTCCTTTTACTTGACAATTTTCACTAACAGTTCTTACAATATGAAGTTCAACTAAAGTCTTCACTGGTCAACTGAATGAAAAAGAGCAAGCAAAACAATTTCTCTAGTATACAAGGGTGTTAGAAATAGTTTTTCTTTGTACTTTCACATATATTTCAATGTGTAGACTGGAAACTTTAAGGTTATCTTAATTTTTGACTTTCAAAAAGGCATGACAATGAATTTTGTTAAATTATAGATCACAGTATCTTACAAACGATCAAATACAAAATTTCAGATGCTCTTGGAAACACATTTTAAGATATTTAACATACATAATACATAATTCTTAGTTTACTCATCCTCGTGGGATAAGGAAGCATACTCAATCTTATGCTGAAAATTTTGCTTTTGAATTTTCAAAGTTTTCTTAACAGGCTTTCAGTCCAAAAAACCTCAGATATCTTGTGTCCTATTGGGATATGTTTTTCTCATTGATTAACATCAGTGGGCTCTTGTATTGGTAGTCTGGTCATGACTTACTCTTGCAAAAC